CGCCCCGCAGCAAGTAAGCAGAAAAATACACACAAAACGATTAGAAACAAAACACAGGTAAAAGAACAGCAATGAAGTAAAACATAAAAACACAAAACAAAGGACTGCACAGTATGGCTTCAGCGCGCACGCACCCATCCTCAAATGTGATTCCACGCAAACAGTTGTGTGCGTGCCATGCATATGAGTGTGTCTGGGATGCGTTCAACGTGACGGATGCGGGGAGCGGCAAGGAGCACACGGCATGGCAGCGAATGCAAATAAAAACAGTAAAACACAGTCATCATTTTTTTCGTATTTATTACTTAGGAAAACAATAGACGCGCACAAGTCCCCGCGGCTGAGTGCTGGCACGCACAGCCCACACAGAATTCTCAGCCCAGAGCGGCGTACGCAAGCGCAGCCAGAGCGAGCAGCAGCGGGGCATGCAGACGGGTGTCATGGAAGCAGGCGTCACTTCCCACAGTGCTCTCCAGCGCGTTCCTTGGAGGCGCAGAGGAAAGTGGAGCCAGCATGCCTGGCGCCGTAGAATTTCCCTCGCTGGTGGCCGTGTCGGTGGTGCTGGTATTGTCGTCGTGCGTCACCGCGGCAGCAGACGGCGGGGTGCCGTTGGGAGTCCCCTCCGCTGCGGAGTTTTCACCCGGACCGCTGGCAGCAGCCTGGCCGCCTGGGGATGGGGATGTTGGCTCAGCGTCACCCCCTGCTGGTGTGCTCCGCGTGGCACCTGATGCGGCTGCCGTCCCTGGCTCTGGCGAACCGTCGCCCGTAACGCCTTGGTTTCCTGCCGCCGGCAACTGTGACTGCAGCTGCTGCGCCGATTGTGGTTCTGTTGTCACACCAGAGGTCGCTGGTTCACCGGGTTCCGCTGACCTCGGCAAATTTATCGGCCCTGTTGGTGCTAGTGGCAGTGGTGACGGAGGCGCTCCTCCCTGCTGGTTTAATTCCTCTGCTTTACCTTCATCTTCCTTCGGACGACCCGAGCCACTTCCCTCCGAGCCGTGGGCCAGCCTCCCAGCAGAACAATCGTCACTCGGTTCACCACTTCCTTCCCCTCCCAGGCCAGCAATTG